ATCGACATGATTGGATTTAGGTCAACTATTTTCCCATCTGTTCTGTGTGTCTCCATTGATTTTTATATCTCTGTTCCTCCTATCCTGCCTTCTTTCCAACTATATGGATTTTTCAAAGATTCTATTTTAATTATCCATTGGCTTTTTGTTGTTGTTGTTGTTGTTGTTATGTGCCATCAAGTCAGACCCGACTCATAGCGACCCCTCCTTGAGTTTCAGAGGTGGTATCACTACGGAAGTAGATTGCTCAACCTTCCTTCTGAAGAGTGGCTGGTGGGTTTGAACAGCCAGCTTTTTTTTGCATTGTTTTTTAGTCATTGCTCCAGGAATTATCATAAATTCTTAACTTGTTATAGTTGATTTGGAATAAATATTGTATTTTCACATAAAATGTAGAAATTGTGCAACCATATTAAACTATTTACTACTCTCCAATCCTTTATATTATAATTTTCACATTTTATATTTATATGCTATAATAAAATTTTATAATTATTGTTTTAAACAAGCTTATGTATTTTAAAGAAATTTTAAATAATAATCTTTTTTTATTTTCTTTTTTACATTTCCAGTGCTCTTTTTTCCTTTCTGAAAATTTGAGTTTTGCATCTGGTATTATTTCTCTTCAGTTAAGTTTCTTTGAGCCTTGTTATACTTCACTTTTGAAAAAAAAACAAAAACAAAACCCATTGTTGTTGAGTCAAGTCCTACTCATAGAGATCCTATAGGACACAGAGTAGAACTGTCCCATAGGGTTTCTAAGCCTGCTAACTTTACAGAAGCAGACTGCCACATCTTTCTCCCGTGGAGCAGCTTGTGGGTTTGAACTCTCAACCTTTAGTTAGCAGCTGAGTGCTTAACCATTGCACCATCAGGGCTTCTTTAGTGCAGTTCCACTAGTGTACATTCTCTAAGTTTTCTTTTCTCTGAAAATGTCTTTCTTTTGCCATCATTATTGAAGCATGTTTTAAAATTATAGGTTGACAGGTATATTCCTTTGAGCACATTAAAGAGATGTTCCACAGTCCTGTGCTTCCATTGTTTCTGATAAGAAGTTGATTATCATTTGAATAGTTTTCTTCCTTTATGTAATGTGTCATTTTCTCACCTATCTAGACTTGGATAAGAAGAAAGGGATCTAAAATTTATCCTATTGTATGTAATCAAATCAATCCATGTCTCCAGAGATCAAGATAAAGGATAGTTGAAAATATATGCATGGTTGCTTTATTTTGTTTATCTGGAAATTTTTGCCATCAAATTTGAGGGACAATTATTCTGGGTATGTAATTCTTGGTTGGCAACTTTTTTTTTCTTTCAGGGTTTTATATATGTCATCCTATTGCCTTCCCTCCTGCATGGTTTTTGCAGAGAAATCAGAGCTTAATCTTATTAGTTACCCTTTGTAGGTAATGTCTTGTTTTTTCTCATACTGCTTTCAGGATTTTTTTCTTTGCTTTGGAAAATTTGATTATGATATATCTTCATTATTTTCTTTTTAGGGTCTGTCCTGTCTTTTTGGAATTCATTGAACTTCTTGAATGCATATCCTCTCTTTCATCATATTAAGGAAGTTCTCTGCCAACAAATCTTCAAAAATTTTCTCTATGGTTTTATTTATCTTTTCCTGCTCTGGAATTCCAGTGACACAAAAGTTATTCTTCTTGACTGTATCTCACATAAATCTCAGGCTTTCTTCTGCTTTATTTATTTTTTGTTGTTGTTGTTGTTCTTGTTCTTTTTTCTAACTGTTCCCTTAACAAAGTAGTATGAAAGATTTATCTTCAATCTCACTAATTCTGTCTTCCATTGATTCAACTCTACTCCTTTGGCTTTCAGTGTGTTATCTATTTCTGAAATCTTAGCATTGATATTCTGAATTTCTATTTGCTGTTTTTGTATGGTTTATACATTTTCATTTAGTCAATTTGCTCTTGTATTGTTTTCCTAAATTCTTCTAGAGTTTTATCTGTGTTTTCCTTAATTGTCAGTATTTGCCTTGTTTGTCTCTCAATCCATTGAAAGCACCCAAATATAATTCTTATGAATTCCTTATCAGGTAGTTCTAATGGCATCTGTTCCTCAGGGAGGTTTTCTGGCTCTGTATTCCATAGTTTGTACTACTTTACCTTGCTTCTTTGTGTGAACTGAGATTAACAGTTTTCTACTAGACATTGTGATACTGTTGTGTTTATATTTAATTGGAGATTGTATGTTGGTGTGATTCTCCCTGATTTTTGTTTTTGTTTTTATTTTGTTTTGATACATATGAGTGAGCAGGCTAGTGTGCTACTCCATTAGCTAATTAGGCACTCACCACCTGTTTCCTGGTGGTTGTGATAGAGGATGAGAATGTGTGAACAGATCTCTGTTAACGGTTCATGTAGACCAGCTGAGGATGGGTTGAGGTGCATTGGCTGGCCACTGTCTACCATTTATCATTTGGTACAGAGAAGGTGGTGGCCCTTGCTGAGTGAGTGGGGCTGCAGGAGGTGCAGATGTGGTTGAGTCATGTGGGCATGGTTGCTTTCTGGTCATCAGCCATCAGCATGGTTGCCATGCAGTCCTCAACAAACAGAACCTGCTATCAGATTGCTGCCCAGATTAGAGCACTGCTTACAAATATTCAAAATGGCCATGCCATCAGGCCAGTTGACAATCAACAGCTCCATTTGTCTCCTTATTTACTGTTTTCATTCAATTTCTTCTATTGTTGTTGTTGTTATGTGCCATCAAGTTGGACCTGACTCATAGTGACCCCTCCTTGGGTTGTCGAGGTGGTATCACTACAGAAGTAGATTGCCCAACCTTCCTTCTGAGGAGTGGCTGGTGGGTTTGAACTGCCAACCTTCTGGTTAGCAGTCAAGTGCCTTAGGCACTACACTACCAGAGCTCCTATTAGTCAATATTTAATCCACTATTTTATCCTTCTCTTTGAAGCTCAGGGTTCCAGAATTATCTTCCATATCTGTTCCAGTTTCTTGTTTCTTTGTTGTAGGTCTGTGTAGCTTGTCTGCCTATTCCATCATCTTGCTGGAAGTCCCTGCTTCCTTAATTTTGTATTCTTTTGATTCCAAGAGAAGATACACGTTTTCGTATGTTTATTGTCCAATTGTGTTTCTTAATTTTTAAAGGGAAAGCAAGTTCCCTGATACAACTTTGCCATCAGGATTTCTGCGTTTTATGGGAGCAAGGAAAGGAGGTGAGGAGGAAAGAAAATGAAGGAAAGAAAGGAAGCTAATCTGCTCTGGAGCTCTGTGTTTGGTTAGCCATATCTTTGTCAAACCTGACTCCCAATCTGAATTTCTCTCTATCCAATCCCGGTTCCATCCCTTTTTATCTTTCACCAGCATTATTCCCTAAAATATGCCTTGCACTTCTTGTATTTCTACCTCTGTCCCAAAACTTCTTACCAGAGGACCCAACTGATAAAACTTCCCTTTGCATTTACCATGGCCTACCAGGCCTAGTAAGGAGCTCTGGTGGTGTAGTCCCTATGGCATTGGACTGCTAATCAGAAGGCTAGTGGTTCAAACCCACCAGCCATTCCACAGGAGGAAGACTGTGAAATCTACTTCTGTAAAGATTTACTGCCTTGGAAACCTAAAGAGGGGTCACTATGAGTCAGAATTGACTTGATGACAGTGAGTTGGTTTTTGTTTGTTTGTTGCTTCTTACCAGTCTAGTAAGGAGCCCTGGTAGTACAGTGTTTAAGCATTTGGCTGCCAACTGAAAGGTTGGTGGTTTGCACTTACCAGTTGCTCTATGGGAGGAAGATATGGCAGTCTGCTTGCATAAAGATTGACAGCCTTGGAAACCCTGTACAGCATTTCTACTCTGCCATATGAGGTCAGTATGGGTTGGAATCAAAGTATGGGTTGGAAACAACTCAACAGCAACAGATTTGGTTATGTTTTCTTCTTTTCTTTTTTTCTTCAACCAGGCCTAGTGTGACCCAGCCCTTGCTTGCCTCTCCAAAGCTAATTTGTATCATGCTTTCCAGTGCTCACTATCAGCCAATCAAAGTACTCCCCAAATTTAGTATTCCAACTTCTTTCCAGACTCAGCACCTTGGCATTAAAACTATCCTCTGCCTGAAATGCTCTCCTCCCCAACTTGAGCTCTTCTTCCTCATCATTGGTCTTAATTCAGTATCCTTTCTGAGAGAGGGCTTCCCTGGCCACCTTAGCTGGCATAGTTCTACCTGGTCATTCTCCTTCATATTCCTTTGTTTATTCTTCATTGTTTGAATTTCTTTTTTAATATGCTTACTTCTTGTTGGCCTTCTCCCCCTACTAGTGAACTTTCAGGTCCATAAGAGCAAGAGCCTGGCCTGTCTCATTCATGCCAGTATTTTCAGTGCCTAGAATGGTGCCAGGCAAAGTAATTGCTCACTGGATAAATGAAGGAATGTTTGTTGAATAAATGAAGGAATGACTCTGAGATCATTAGCTCTATTTTATAAGGTACAGAAAGGTTAAATGACTAGGCCAAGAACACAGTAATGGGGCCCAAATTTTATCTCGGGTATCTGAATCCAGATTCTTACCCTTACACCTCCTGGGAGATTGGTGTAGTCCAGTGCTGCTCAAGTGCCAGTCTGCAATAAGGAGCTTGTGAGAGAATATAAATCAATGCAGTGTTTCCTTCATCATGATAGTCTTGCTATGAAAAAGTACTAGCAAAACTAAATAGGATGCTTAGTGACTTTCTGTTCTGGCACAAGTATCTAATTTTGTTACAGACAGTTCTCCAATAGGTAGGTGGTCCACACTTATTTTGTAATATGAGTCTTATTGTTCTCATAAGGAAGGTTGGGCAATCTACTTCCATAGTGTTACTGCCTCGGAAACCCAAGGAGGGGTCGCTATGAGTCAGGTCCGAGTCAACAGCACATAACACCAACAACAACAACATTGTTCTCTAGTTTAATCACATGGGTTTAAACTCCATGTCTCTGTCATTTCAGACACTCTCATCACCCTTGCCACCTAGTCAAGATGGAGTCCTCAGGCATCGCAGAGTCCATCACTGACTTTCATTATGAAGAGATAAGTTTTGCGTGTGACAACAACAGCATCTTTGGCCCCCTCACCACCACGATCCTATACTGCCTGGTGTTTTTCTTCAGCCTTGTGGGCAATGGCCTGGTGTTGTGGGTCCTTGTGAAGTATGAGAGCTTAGAGTCTCTCACCAATGTCTTTATCCTCAATCTGTGCCTCTCAGACCTGGTGTTCTCATGCCTGTTGCCTGTGTGGATCTCGGCATACCACTGGAACTGGGTGCTGGGAGACTTCCTCTGCAAGCTCCTAAATTTGTTCTTCTCCATCAGCCTCTACAGCAGCATCATCATCCTGACCATCATGACCATCCACCGCTACCTGTCAGTTGTGAGCCCCCTCTCAACCCTGCGTTTCCACACCCTTCGCTGCCGTGTGCTGGTGACCACAACCATATGGACAGCCAGCATCCTGTCTTCTATCCCTGATGGCATCTTCCACCAGGTGTTCTCTGAGAGATGTGATTATCCAGAAGACCAATGGTTCCTAGCCTCAGTCTACCAGCACAACATCATCTTCCTTCTCTCCTTGGGGATTATCCTGTTCTGCTATGTGGAGATTCTCAGAACCCTGTTCCGCTCACGATCTAAACGGCGCCATAAGACAGTCAGGCTCATCTTCACCATAGTGGTAGTATACTTCCTTAGCTGGGCTCCCTACAACCTGATTTTGTTTCTGCAGACACTGTGGAAACTCAATATCATCCGTAGCTGTGAGGTCTACAAACAACTGGATTACGCTTTGCACATCTGCCGCAATGTTGCCTTCTCCCACTGCTGCTTCAACCCAGTGCTCTATGTTTTTGTTGGGGTCAAGTTCCACAGACATCTCAAAAGTCTGTTCCAGCAGTTCTGGGTCTGCAGGCAGCGTGCTCCCACCACTCCTCCTACCCCACACTCCCCAGGGACCTTCCACGATGAGGGTGCCTCCTTCTATTGAAGGGGAGTTTAGTGGTGTAAGGGAGCTGGAGTGGGAGTAAGGAAAAGTGAGGCAGGGCAGAATACTGCCAAAGGGCACAATGGTAGGGATGCTGCCACTGCAGGGGTAAGGGTGAAAGAAGTACTTTATACCAGTGAGTCCTACATGCCCCCTTGTGTGGGGAAAAGTGGATTCCCAGCTGGGTATTTTATATTGCTATCCAGAAAAAAAAAGTCTTAGATTCCAAGTTCATCATTCATTCCTTCCTTTATTCATTCACTTAGATATGGATTTCTTATCATTGCTTGGCTCAGAAGATTCTAAAACATGGAAAAATTCCCAGCAGGGGCGTCCTTCACTTTATTAGGGGATGAAACTCAGTGTGTGTGATAATTATGCAATGCAAGTTGCTGGCAAGATGCTCTCTCCCCTCCCTGACCAAAGTATTGTCCCAATCGACAAGTTCACTGTGGAGGTGGTGGGCTCTGTATTCTTCAGTGACTGGTGGTTGAGACTGTCTGCAGAATGAAAGTCACCACGCCCAAGAGCCACAGTCACAACAAAATCCGGATCCTAAAAACCCACCACTAGATTGGCAATATGTTCTGTATAGTAGTTCTAGTTCCTGGCACATGAATGTTTATTCAATAAATATTTTATTGAAGGAATGAATACAATAAGTACTATGCTCTGCATTAAGTATTTATTTAAAGGATATAAATTAGATGAGTTCCCACCCTCAAGGTGCCAACAGTCCAGCTTTGAAGGTCCAAATAAGTAAATACCCACCTTGACAAGATCTAATAGATTGAAGATTCTTCCAACATCTAGTCCTTTCCAGGTGGATATAGAGCTGACGCTTCATATTCATCACTTTCCATCTAAAATGTCCTTCTCCTGCTTGGTTGTCAGTACCAGCGTTCCATCAGCCACCTACCCCTCAAACCTGAGCCAACTTTGAGTGCCACATTTTCTTTACTTGCACTCCCATGGTGATGTCCTGTTGGCTCTGCTTTCCAAATGTCTGAATTGTTCTTGCCATGGCACACCCACTATTCCATGCTTAAAATAGGGCTCATTTCTGCAGTCTCTTTGCTTTCCCTCTATTTTCCTACCAGGCTGTCCTCTGCACTGATACCAAGCTGCTTCAAAACTTCATTGTATACAAATGAAGTCCAAACACTTTGGCAAGGATTTCAAACCCTCCATAATCTGGTGCCAACTGACTTTTCCATTCTTGTTGTTGTTGTTATATGCCATCGAGTCGACCCAAACTCATAGCGACCCCTCCTTGGGTTTCTGAGGCAGTATCACTACGGAACTAGGATTGCCCAACCTTCCTTCTGAGGAGTGGCTGGTGGGTTTGAACCGCCAGCCTTCTGGTTAGCAGTCAAGTGCCTTAGGCACTATGCTACCAGAGCTCCTTTTCCATTCTTATTCTGAGCTAAATATCCTTCCACCAGGAAGCATAGGTTACAGACATAAATAGCAATGACTCCATGGTAGTTAAGGTTGTGTGTCACCTTAAAATCATGGCTGGGCCATGATTTTCAGTGACATGGTAGCTGGATGTAGTTAATCCCCATGATGTGATCTGCTGTGATGTAATGAACTCCACAGGTAATCTGCTGTGAGACGTTAATCAGTGGAAGTGGGGTTGCCTTTGGGGTGTGGCCTGCTTCCAGTATACATGGACAAACTTTGGGAAAGGTCTCTGGCTTTTGGCACATGTGGATCCTGCATTTGGCCTAGTCTTTGTCTCCAGTTCCTGGACTTGAACCAGTGGCCTGCTGTGTTGCCTCTTGATCTTGGGATTGTGCCATTTTAACTGCCAACCTTGGGTTCATCAGCCTCAGCAGCCAACACCTGCCTGAGTTAGGAGATGCCTCCAGCTCAAGTGAGCCTGGAATAAGAGGTAGAGCTGAAGCCCAAAGTCAAGGGGCTTTCACCCATCTCCTAGAGCTGGCACTCTGAACTCAGACTTCTAGCCTCCTAAACTGTAAGAGAATGAACTCTTGTTTGTTAAGCCATCCACTTATATTTCTATTATAGCAACACTAGAGAAATAAGACAGATCTTTTTGCAGACACCTGCCTCCCCAGTCTTCTGCCTCTGAGCCTTTCACATACTTCTCCCCAGGCTACAAGCTACAGCTGGAAGGCCAGCTCCTCGAGGAAGCTTTCCCTAATCTGCAAATCTGAAGGACACTCTATGGCTTGCCAAGACATTCTGCTTGTCCCCTTCTAATAGTATTTTCACTCTCCACCTTGTGTTGTAATTATACACCTGCGTGTCTTATTTCTCTGATTCATGAGACTGTAAACTGCTAGAGGACAGGAGCCTGGGCTTGATCCCTACCAAGCACAGATCCTGGGGTTCTATTACTGTGTAGTGGGAGCAAATACCAACAGCTATGATTATTATTCTGATTATGCTTTTAGGGAGTCTTGTTGTGGGACACATTTTGCCTTCCTTGCCTAGGCTGCTCCTCTCTGGATGTAGACTTTTCTTCCCCAATCTACACTCTCAGAGTATATTCCTTATGCCTTTCTGTGGCAATGGCTATCATTGACCTTGCATTCTGCCTACATGGTCTCAGAACAGAGCATTATTTGCAAGCCCTGGGAGCTAATATAAATTGTTCTACTATGTTTTGGACTTGCTTGGTGCCCATTGTCCCTTCTTTCCCTCCAATTTCTCCCATTTGTAATGGAAATATTTACCTTGTGCCTGTTCCATCATTGTATTTTGAAAACAGATAACTTGTAGTCTAGATTTCATGGGTTCACAGATGAAGAGGAATTTTGTCCCCAGAATGGAATTTGGAAATGTAGTTGGTTTAAGACTTTTGGGGTGATATGATGGGGTGAAAGTGTTTTGCATATGACAAGGACATGAATTTTGTGGGCTGGATTGTCATTGATTGAATTGTATCCCCCAAAAATACGTGTCAACTTGGGCTGGCCCATGATTCTCAGTGGTTTGCCAGTTACATAGATGTCATCATCTACCAAGATGTGATCTGATGTGATCAGCTAATCAGTTGTAAGGAGATTAGGGTAGAATACAATGACCTTACTCAGGTCACAGAGGAGATCTGGTGTATGAGGAGTTCCCCTGGGATGTGAACTGCATCACCTTTTGTCTTATAAGAGATGAAAAGAGAGAGAAGGACCACAGTATCACCAAGAAAGAAGAGCTGGCAGTAGAATGTGTCCTTTGGATCTGGGGTCCCTGTGCTGAGAACATCCTAGATCAAGGGGAAGATTGATGTCAAGACAAATATAGATATCCAAGGAATGTCAGCCCCACAGATGTTGAAAAGAACAAGGACCCTCCCCCAGAGCTGATAAGGAAAGTATTCTTTAAAGCTGGCACCCTGAATTCAGACTTGTAGCCTCCAATAAGAGAGATTAAATTTCTGTTTATTAAAGCCATCCACTTGTGATATTTTCTGTTATAGCAGTGTGAAATAACTAACACACCATCCCAAAATGCTTATCCAAGTATTTCCTTCCACACATACAGCCACCTCCTTGGAGCATTTTACTAAATTCAATTGTGTCCATTTCTTTAATTTCTAACCATGTTTTTAGGAGCTCTGGTAGTGTAGTGCCTAAGGCACTTGACTGCTAACCAGAAGGCTGGTGGTTCAAACCCACCAGCCACTCCTCAGAGAGAAGGTTGGGCAATCTACTTCCATAGCGATACCACCTCGGAAACCCAAGGAGGGGTCACTATGAGTCAGGTATGACTCGAGGCACATAGCAACAACAACAACCATGTTTTGGTATCCCCAAAGACTAGTTCCAAGCCAATCTTTAATTAGGAGTCTTCTAGTCTAGTTCTTTAAGAATCCAAGGAAGGAAGCACAAAGAAAGAGAGGTATAAGTGGGAAGACAGAAGGCATTCAGTCAGAGAAGGAATGTGGGTGAGACTGATGAAAAGGAGCAGTCAGAGAGCAGCACACAAGTGGCCAAACTCTGAGACATTCTTTGACCACAACCCTCACAAGCCAGAAACCTCCTGCCCTTCCCCTCTCAGCACCCACTGAAACCACTATTTGACTTCAACTGTAGGTCATTCCCAGTCTCCAGTCAAGACCAGTTTCCTTGGATACAGGACTATAGACTTCTTGACACGCCTAGAACATGAAAAATCCACAGTTGTTCCCAAGAAAGGTTCTATTCACATCATTTCCACTTTCACGGCTCCTTCAGACAAAGAAAAAGAGGATCTTGCTGATCTCTGAAAAGGAGCATGTCTCCCAGTCCAGGCAACCCCAGGCCTGAAATGGCTCCAGCTGGAGTGGAAATTTCCAGCTGGAGGGCACGAATCTAGTGTTACATGTTTCTAGAACCTCCCTTATACTCAGGAATACTTGTGGTTAGCTGAGCACTTGAACAGAGTTTTTTTTTTTTTTTTTCCTATTCCATTTCCTTTTCTCATGTTTCCTACATTACATCTTCTAGTCAACACCAGGTGGGCTTCCCAAGAACCTCTTCTCTAGGGTCCACCAGGCCCAACATCTCCTGGTTCATTTGGAGTTAAACTTTGCTGAAGCTGACTTCCTAAAAGCCCTCATTTATGAAATCTACCTATGATTAGACAAAGAAGCACCAAAGTATGGAAAGTCCAGTAGAACAGATTCCAAATGTAAACTGAGAAGGCTCATGGGCTTTAAGCCCTGGACATAAACCCCAAGTCCAAGCTTTTTTATCTAGCCACTATAACCTTAAAGAGTCTGTGGATGGTACAAATGGCTAACGAACTCAAATGCTAACTAAAAGACTGGAGGTTCTAGTGCACCCAAAGGCACCTCAGAAAAAAGACCTGGAGATCTACTTTCAAAGGGTCAGCCATTGAAAACTCTCTGGAGCACAGCTGTACTCTGACACACATGGGGTCACCCTGAGAATCAACTCAATGGCAACTGATTTTGGTGACCTTGGGCCTCTCACAGCCTCAGTTTCCTTGTCTGTAAAACTATAGAGAAGCCAATAATCCAACAACACAGATTC